CGTTCCATGCAGAAATAGAAGTACCCGAGACAACCTTCTATCTCAATCCCACCATTAAAAGTCCATTCGCACTCCAAATGCTATGCCAAATGTAGGATGGAGTTGATCCCAATCTCGAGCCGAGGAAATCACCTGTGGGATAGTATTTTGCGCGAATTAGCCTCCCTACTAATGAAGTATGATTAATAAATAGACGCCACCCATGTTTCGCAAGCAAATCAATATTGAATTTTGACATACCTCTAAATCCAAGACCAACATTGAATTTTAAATGACTGTTTTCCATGAACACCAATGAAAACCCCTTCGGGTCTCAAACTTTTGTCTCAAAATCTAGCCATAATGCTTTCTAATTCTATGCAAAGCGTTTTAGGAAGAAAAAAAAATAACGCAAACAATGTGAAAGATTGAAGAACCGATTTGATAAAGACCTCCTTACCTCCATACGAGAGAGCATGAACACATCAGTAGCGGATTCGACTATGAAATCTGTCCAAAAAGTGCGCGAAGGCCCCTATGAGAGAGCACGAACACATGACGTACATATCTTCTATTCTCATCAATAACATTAGAGCTGAGAAAATCCCGGGTTTATCAAAGTTAATAACCTGACCTGAGCTGTCTCCATAAAAACGAAACAAACCCTTAATTTGTGAGGCCACACGAGTAGTTGCTTCACCAAAATGAGGCTATCATCAGCGAACAAAAGATGGGTTGCAGTAACGGCATACCGATTGAGCCTAACTCCCTCAAAGTCTTCTTTTGTAGTAGCTCGTTGTATCAATGAAGATAAACCCCCACTGCAAATAAGAAAAAGGTATACGCTCAGCGGATCCCCTTGGCGAAGATCACGTTAAGTGTCAAAACTAGCCCCTACTAAACCATTAATAACGACCGAATAAGAAATGGTACAAACACACAAGTTTATAAATGATATCCAACTACTTGATAACCCCATTTTCTCCATAATTGTGCAGATAAACTATCATTCTACAAGATCATATGCCTTCCTCGTATCAAGCTTAAAGGCAAAGTACCCCTTCTTACCCACACGCTTCTGTTGGAAAGAATGCAAAATCTCATAAGCAATTATGACATTATCAATAAGCAAATGGCCCAGTACCAAAGCACTTTGCGTTTCATTAATACAAATGTGCAAATAAGGCTGCATCCGAAGAACTAGCATTTTTGAAATTATCTTGAAGAGAACATTACACAAGATAATAGGGCAAAATTGACTAAGTCTTGTTGGGCATCTACTTTTGGAATTAGGACTATGTGAGTATGATTAATATCGTGCATGTCAAAATGACCATGAAGAACAATGCAATAGGTTGTAATTTCTGAACCAATTACGTGCCAGAAACATTAGTAGAACAAAGCACCTACATCATTCTCACTCGTGAGTTTTAGAGGGCAGTAGATTTATTTGACTGCAGATGTAACCTCTTCAAAAGAGAAATCCCGAAGCAAGAAGCATTTATATCGTCTATTATCGAGGGCAAAATATTATCAAGGATCAGCTCATCCACACTTTCAATAGTAGTCGCAAATAAAGATTAAAAATACCCACTAGCCAACTCCTCAAGACCGAGCTCACTATCAACACAAGTTCCATCCTCATATTCCAAGTGCAAAATCTAATTACACCGCTTCCTTTGTGAAGCAAAACGGTGAAAATTAGTTGTGTTATTATCCCATCCTTCAACCAATTAACTCTCGCTCATTGTTCCCAGTAGAGTTCCTGCTTATCAGCGTCTAAATTAAGTTGCAACTTCTTGTCCACAATTTCTCCGAGAACATCATCTGTCAGTTTCAATTCAATCAACTCTGCTAATCGTTTCTGTAACTCCTATGCCGTTAAACGCTTATACCGATAAATATTCTTAAACCAAACATCGAGTCCATGACTAACCTGATTAAGCTTTTGCAAGACAATTCCCTTATGTGGCGTTTGGTTCGCTGGAATATTTCTGAGGGATTTGGAATCTGTGAAACAATTGGAACCTGTAGGAATTGGAATCTGAATTTGAAATCTATTTGGTTGGCAAGAAATTGAATTAGAATCCAAATCCATATTCTGTTTGGTTCGCAGACATGTCAGATGAATTTGATTTCAGTAATGTAAAAGGACATAATTGTTCTTTTTGTTTTTTTGCTTAATTTTAGTTTGTTTTATAACTTACATGTAGTAATATATTATAAAAATTTTAAAAATATTAAAATTTCATTTTATTGATTGATTATTCATTTCAATAAATTATAAAAATCATACTAATAAATATCATAAGTTAAAATTATCACAATTAGGGATGGCTATGAGTCGGGTTGGGTCGAGTTTTTGGTCCACCCGACCCGAAATAATAAAAAAAATATTTTTATTCAATAAAAACTGTGACTTAATTGAAAAATATAAATATAGAGGGGTATTATTGTAATTGTTCCTAAATCTATAAGGTAAAATTATATTTTTTTCGGGTCGGGTATGGTATTTTTCACCCTAAACCCGAACCCGACCCGAATATCACACTTAAAAAAACCCGACCTGACCCGAACCCGAATTTTTTTTAAAAATATCCAACACGATCCCGAAATTTTTTTAAAAAAATCCGACCTGAATACCAAAATATTGATGAGGGTAGTATGGTCAAATTTCACATTCTCTCCTCCAAAGGATTTCAATTCCATCATGTTATGGATGTAATTTACTTTCCCTCCCTTGATGGAATTTGATTCTAATTCCCCATTTGAAAACTTAAACCAAACATGGGAAAGTGGTGGAATTGGATTCCAATTCCCCCTAATTCCAAGGGATTCCAGCGAACCAAACGCCACCTTAGCCTTAGCCCAAAAATAATTATATTTCAAAAAATATAAATAAATAATTTATAAAAGTATTCATTTTCAATGATAATATTTTGGTATTTGAATAATAGTTAGTTATTAATAAAAAAAATTATTACTATTATAACATTTTGAATCTATAGTTTTTTTATACTTTAATTTTATATATATTTAAAAATATATAATATAAGTCTTTCATGTATTTAAGGTTCAAATTCAAGTTCGAATTGAGTTTCAATTTTTTATTTCTAGTGATGCTTGAAAATTTTAAGCTTGTGAGGTTTTAAGTCGAGTCGAGCTTAATTTTAAAGTTTTCTAGTTGAGTCGAACTCAGTAATATACAAACTCGACTCAGCTCGTTCACAGCCCTACTCCTTATTGGGATTAAATGGAACTTATGACATTAGTGGACCGTTACATCTTAATTATATTGGGCCAACTATTATTTTTGTGGTCCACATGCTAAAAAATAGCCGAAAGTGTGAGGGTTACATATTAACTCCAAACTTTAAATCTCAACGGCTAGTCAGAATTTTGATGGTTACAATCCATTCCATTGCATGTCAATCGAAAAAGATAAAATTTACTTATTTTAAATTTTCTAAACTTTCAATATTTATAATATCTATCTATAATCTATTTAAAATACGAGTTTATAAAAGATTTTGAATAGGAAAAACTGCTCTTTTTTGGTTCATTATATTTTTAAATTGGTGAAAAGGTAAAAAAATTAATATTTGTATATATTACTAACTATTATATAATTTTAAAATTGATATTAGTTAAAACTAATTTAAGTGAAATATTATTTATATTAAAATAGACTTTATATTAATGTTTAAAAGAAATAATGTTGAAATACAGACGATTATCTGAATACTCATTTTGATCTATATTCTTTTCTTAAGCACTTTAAATTTTAATATTTTAATTTTGGTTAAAAGATTTTTTTATAGGAAATGTTAGTTGACTAACAATCTACATTTATTACTGATGTAGTGTTTTTTATGTGTCTAGTTGATGGCATGATATATATCACATTAATAAAAATAATTATGTAATATTAAATACATGTAAAATTATCACGTGTTTATTATTATTCAACTATCATGTTTCATTCTAGAAAAAATTATAAAAAATAATAATAATAATAAAACATTGAAAGTTAAAGTGTTTAAAAATATGGACTAAATTGACTATTTTATTAAATATTAAGTGAGAATTTTTGCACTATTTTATTAAAAATAATTATTTTAGACCCTGAAATTGTATCTCATTATCACTTTGGCACATGAAGATTTGTTTTTGTTCAATTTGGCCCATAAGCTTTCAAAGTACAATACATGTTACCTAGACCCTATAACTACCCAAAAATTTAAAATCAATATTTGTATACTAACCCGGGTCAAGACAAACTAAGTGGTGGACTCAAATAGATCTAACAGAACAAGATTATGCTTAATTGAATAGGATTTGATTCCACAACTTGTTAAAGGGGATTTTGAGTTAAGAGTTAAAGCTAGAGGACCTAGCGGGCAATTTGACCATTCAGGGAAAACATAGATACACATTTTGTTTGGATATGGGGTTTAGGGGACAATTTGTTAAGCACATTAAAATCTCGAGTACTTTCTTGTTCTTTCCTTCATCTTTTCCTTCTCCATTCCTATACTTCCTTCTCTTTCTCTCTAGTGGTAGACAAGCTAAAAACATAATATTTATTGCACAACTCACCTCTTCAAGGCTTTTGAAGGTAAGAACCATCATCATCACCAGTTTACTTTAACAATAGTGAACATGAGAAAACTGAGATTTTTGGAAAGTTGATAAGATCAAGACTTTTCCATTCCATTTCATCGTTTTCAAAATTTATTTATATTTAATGTACCCTTTCCGTATTCATACCCTATAATTTTGGAAATTGCTGTTTCACGACTCCGTATATGTATCAGTTCAACATAGGATTTCAGTATACTTAAGCTTACTGTTATCCGAAATCGGGTAAGTGTAATGAGTGCTAAAGGAGCCGGATCATGTTTAGTAACAGAAGAAATTGAAAGTACTAATTATCTAGTTGTTTACTTTTGCATGGAAAAATTGGCCACAGATTGCTTGTATCATGTACTGGACTCCATTATTTGCCATAGATTGGTATTTTAGCTTAAATGTTGGTTTGTCACAAACTTTTCATTATAATGACCTGCCAATGCAATTGTAATAGGTTTTACATCATGAGCCTTCAGAGCCGACCGTTCAGGTTTTCAACGATCACGCATCATGCGAATGTGACACAATGCCTTGGATCAATCGGAGGTCATGTTTGGTATCTCGGAGTTGCTAAGCCATCCTTGGTGGATTCGAAAGAAGTTGAGAAAGAAAAGAGGAAGATAGCAGTGCAATCTCGTTTCAGTCATTTCTACCTGTCTCCAGCCATTGATGATGTTCATGTTTTCAGAATTTCTGGTCCTAAGTTTATTAAACTTAATTGCGGAACATGGCATGCCGGACCTTTGTTCAGAGCGGATGCAATGGACTTCTACAACTTAGAGCTAAGCGATACCAATGTGAGTTCTTTCTGTCTTAAACTGTTTTTGCTTTCTTCTATCTTTTCAGCTCAAAATGATGCTTCTTTTAGCGTTAGTTATAAGTCAAAGTCAGGAAAATCGCACTTGAAACTCTGGCTTGCATCACAAAGTCTTGAATTTCTTTGATAAAAGCAGGTTTATTGAAATTCATTGAGTGAATAACTTAATCATCTTTTCATTATTCCGGTTTACTTATGGAGTTCGGATTACTTGTTTTTATTCATTGGGTAACTATAGGATATATATAATCACATCTACTATGTTATGCGACTTTTCAAATTTTATTGAAATGCCCTTGCCTAACATCCATGTCCAACACATTCGGACATCTTAATGAGAACCTGACTTTCCGAGGAAGGACCCTCTCAATTCCCATGGAAGACGCATATCTGTATCTGATACATTGAGCGCAAGTCATGTTTTGTACTAGCTGTGTGTTAATATGTATATCACTGAAAAATATAACTAGAACATGATACAATATGGAAAAATAACAAACCCGGTTTAAATGCATTGATTGACAAACTATTTGAAGATATTTTTCTGATTATAATAGGTTGCGGATCATACAACACACTCCTTCAAGGAAAATGGAGTCATGTTTTCATTTGATGAGTAGCCGTGCCTTTCTTTGTTGGCGAGCTCGATTCATCAATGGAAACAAACTGGTTCGAAAGGAATTGCAGATGCCAGAGATGACTGAAAATTGACATTCATCATTGAAAGCTAGTTCTAAAGGAATTGGAAATATCCGGTCATTTTCACAGTGTGAAAACTTTCCATATTTACTAGCAAAATATATTGGATTTACATTTTAATTTCTCATGCCTCGATGTTATACTGCGATCAACATGTGGATTTTGTTCTTGGTCGAGTTTCGTCCTATGTAAACTGTGAATGGTTTTCAACGAACTTATTTTGGTTTAAGTTCTATCATGTGTGGGTAGGTGGATCTATTAGTATTGGTGTTAATAGATTCTCTGCTATTTCGGTTTGTTCATTTGCTTGTTTCATACTTTTATTGGCCTACAAGAGTTGTTCCTGTTGGGGAAACCGGGTTATTTCTCACACGAACGTAGTTTCAAAATTGACCTAAAATGTCAAGATCAAAACCACCAAAGTTTGCACAGCGGATAAACCCGTCAAACTATTGAATATTGAAACACAATGGAAAAACCGAATAAAGAACAATAAAGGAGAGAACACACCAAATTTATGAGGTTCGACGAGAATATCGTCTACTCCTCGAGCACCACACCGGATGATAACTTCACTATCAACAAATATTACAACAAATGGAATTCTTTAGAATTCCCAAAGTGAGAGAATGAACAAAACAAGAGGAAGAGAGAACTTGTTTTGGGATGATTTCTAATGAAATACTTAGGCCAATTTATAGTTGAGTTTTAAGGACTAAACTTATAAATAACCTAATATTTTAGGACCAAAGATGAAATTCCCATGTGCAAAGTTAGCCACATACCAAAGCTTAATTTTCCAATAAGTTGGCCACCAACCAAAGTGAATTTTCCAACTTGCCAAATTTGACAATTTACAAGCCACATATAACAAATCTCCACCTTGGCTTGAAATTACCAAGCCTACTCAACTTCTTCAACTCCCCAAATTTGATGAAGCTCTTTTAATGTAGTGCCTCTAATTGCACTCACAAGCGCCATACACATGAAGGTGCTCAAACTTTCAGGATGTTAATCAAGTTTAAACAATGATTGAACTTGATTACTGTTACCACCTTGGTCATCATATCTGCAGGATTTTCTGATGTCGCAATTTTCTGAAGTAGAATCTTTCCTTCTTTAAAGATCTCCCGCACAAAGTGATACCTCACGTCGATATGCTTAGTCCTTGAATGGTAGACTTGATTTTTCACTAAGTGAATAGCGCTCTGACTGTCATAATAGAGACTAATGCGACTTTGAACAACTCCCAAGTCTTCCATCAACCCGTTAAGCCAAATTGCTTCCTTTACAACCTCTGAAACTGCCATGTATTCTGCCTCTATAGTAGACAAAGCCACCGTAGATTGCAAAGTAGACTTCTAACTTTATAGGGCTTTAGCAAGAGTAAACAAATACCCAGTAGTTGATTGACGCTTATCCAAATCACCAGCATAGTCGAAATCAACATATCTAACCACACACTGACCAAGTGCTTCATCCTATTCAAAAACTAAACCAACATCCACAGTTTGTTGGAGATACCATAGAATCCCTTTCATAGCTTGCCAAAGTCTTTCTCCAGGATCATGCATGTACCTGCTCACAACTCCAATTGCTTCTGAAATGTCAGGACGCGTACAAACCATTGCATACATCAAACTCCCAACTGCATTAGCATATGGAACTTTTTCCATATACTCTCGTTCTTCTTTAGTTTTAGGAGATAACTGAGAACTAAGTTTCAAATGAGAAGCTAGTAGGATACTTACATGTTTGGTATTTTCATTCATGCCAAAACATTGTAATACATTTCTCATATAATGCTTCTAAGTTAAACAAAGCTTCACTCTTTGTCTATCTCTGCTTATCTCCATACCAAGAATCTTCTTGTCCTCACCTAGATCTTTCATCTCAAACTCATGATTCAACTGAGCCTTTAATTTGTCTATCTCTGTTCGCTCGGTATGAGTACTATAAAATGAGTGCGGATATGTGTGCAAGTATACATAATCGAACAAGTAATAAAGTGGTAAGTAGAGTATCGTCTCCAAAGGGAATTGGGGAAGTCGAATGGGTTTGTCAAGGAACTTTACTTTATCACCTAAGTAAAGTTAGTGATGGTATATACAAATGAGAATGATGTGGAAAAATGGAATGACTGTTGTGGAAATGGAATGATGGTAATGTAGTAGCAAATGGATATGTCGTGGTAAATTAAAATGTAATACATGCAAACAAATGTAAATGCCAAGGCAAAATAAAAATGCAAATACTAGATTTAATATATATAGGACTTTAGCTTTACGACAAGCTGCTATTGGAATGAGTGGTAGGAGTCACTAGGAAAATCTAAGTCTATTTCTCTGAATGGTATTTCTTCTATGCCTAACCTGCCCAACAGAGTCTACAGAGCTGCCCTATGTTATCTCTAGTAAAGGACTTGATAGATTAAAGATGCCCTGGCAAAATCGATTGGCGTAAACCCCTGCAGTGATCCTATTGGTCTAGATAACAGGATATGTCTCGGTAATACCTTTTTGCAGCAGGATTAACATCTAACCTATCATTTTTGTACAACTCCTTTTAGTCGAATGAAATCCTAGCCATATCTCTAAGGTGGATTAGGCCTAGTTACTACCTAGAACCCCTTGTTTATGTAGTTCCTCCCTAGTTTCTCACAAAGACTAAAGATAAATTGCCAAGGCATTCTCTCGAACCCTCAGGCTCTTCTAAGGAAAGGCTACTCTCGTAGCTCCTACAACCTTAAAGCATTAAGTTTCATAAACAAAACAGATTAAAGCATATAAAAACAACCATTCATTGAAATAAAACTTAAACATCCAAGCGAACTCCCACCAAATAGGATTAGTTCATGGTGGGGTTCGAAATAAACAAGCACAAAGCAAGTTTCATTCGTTCCTTACAACCCAATAACAAAATATCAAAGCAAATAACTAAGGGGAGGAGAGAAATCCTTCGACGTGCACTGCCCAATGCTTCCCTAGGCCACCAAGAACTGCTCCCAACGGATTGGATCCTCTCAAACGTTCAGACCGCTACTCCCTCAGACTTGTCAAGGAGAAATGCCACGGTAAGTAGGATTGACGGAGAAAGATGAGACCTTCTCTCTCTAACTTTTTAAGCTCAAATCAGTGTGGAACCAAAGTCTTCTTCATTATGGCTTCATTCTATATTTATAGGGGAAAATTAACCCTTGAACTAAGAGTTGACTTTCCCAAACTATGGTTAACTTGCTTGGGAGTCAGGCAAGACAGGTGATGATACAGCCTGGGTAGCTGGTATGAGTGACCGGCATAATCCCTTTGTAGGTGCACAAGGACAGACAAGATCTGCAGGGTCAGGTGGCGTGGTCAGCAGGATCGGCGGTTACAGTGTCGGTCCCTTCAGGCGGATCTTCGAGGAGGATTTCTCGGGCAGAGCTCTCGGCTAGTCAGATACAACTGGCTTAAAAATATCTTCTCGCACTTTAAGCACTTTCCAAATGCCGGATGAACATGGAAAATTCATTTTGCTCAGCAATCTCCTTATGTCACGACATTTTCTTTCCTCTTTTCTTTGCTCTCAATACCTGCACATCATCAGACAAGTACCTTTCCCATAAAGTAGCACCGCTGTAAAAATAAAATGTCACGGCAAACCTAAATCCACCACATGCAACTAAATGCTTCTAAATGCATCTACATGGTCCTAAATGAGCCTTTAAACATTCAATAACCTAAGTTAAAAGGCCCCAAAATATGGTCTTTTACGGAGTTATCAATCTCCTTTTGACTCTTCGTAGTGATCAACATATCGTCAACGTACAAGAGAAGATAAATGAAAGATCCATCTTTGAGCTTTTGCAAATACACGCAATGATCATATTTGCTTCTAGTGTACTTTTGCCTCCTTATAAAGCTATCAAATCGCTTGTACCACTGCCTCGGAGATTACTTCAATACATATAGCGATTTGTTCATTTTACAAACCCATTTCTCACAACCACCATCTTTGTATCCTTCTGGCTTAGTCATATAGATCTCCTCTTCTAAATCACCGTGCAAGAAAGTCGTCTTTACATCTAGTTGAGCTAGCTCCAAATTCAACTGTGCTACCAAGGCCAACAATATTCTAATGGAGGAATGTTTCACAACAGGGGAAAATACTTCATTATAGTCGATTCCCTCCTTTTGAGCGTAACCTTTAGCTACCAACCTTGCCTTGTAGCGAACATCTTTCTTTCTATGAGATCCATCTTTCTTTGCAAAGACCCACTTGCATCCAATTGCTCTTTTACCTTTCGTAATTGTGCCAGTTTCCAAGTGTTGTTTTTCTTGGAGAGATTGCATTTGTTCATCCATGGTACTTTTCCACTTATCACTTTTCAAGCTTTGTATTGCTTCTTGGTAAGTGATAGGGATATCATCATCAACAACTAGAAGAGCATAGGCCACCATATCAACAAATCGAGTAGGTCTACGAATTTCTCTCATTGGCCTTGTAACTGTAAGTGGTTCTGGTGTCTCCAATGGTTCTTGGGTTTGAATCTCTTCATCTTATGATTCTTCTATTGGAGTTGAAGAATCAACTGCATCAAATTTTGTGATCATTGTCTACTAAAACTCCACATGTTTAGGAGTATGCTCCACCTGCTGCGGAGTACTACTTGTCCGGACAGCTTTATTTGTTACCTTCTTTACTAGGGCAGATTCATCAAAGGTAACATATCTACTATAAATTATCTTCTTGGTGTCTAAACACCAAAGGCGGAATCCCTTCACTCCACGGGTGCTTCACATAAAGAGGGCATTCTTTGCTCTCGGATCAAGCTTGGATTCATTCACATGATAATAAGCAGTGGATCCAAATACATGTAAGGAATCATAATCAGTATCAAGTTTTCCAGACCATACCTCCAATGGTGTTTTTCCTCCTATCGCTGATGATGGCAGACGATTGATGAGATGGCCAGTATATGTTACAGCCTCAGCCCAAAATGCCTTACTTATCCCAGCATTATACAACATACATCGAACTTTCTCCAATAGTGTTTGATTTATACACTCTGCCAACCCCATTCTATTATGGTGTATTTCTAATAGTGAAGTGTCGAACAATGCCATACTCATGGAAAACGTCAAAGAATGGGTCACTTTTATATTCCCCTCTATTGTCCATCCTAAAACGTTTGATCTTTCT